CTGCCAGGGCAGGGGGGTTTCAGAGCAAAGTCCCGCCCCCCACCCCCGGGGCTATCGGGGTTACCCCCCTTCTTTCCACCCGCCCCCAGTCTTCCCTCCCAAAAAACCCTTTGCGGGGATTTGAGACACTTTCCTTGGGGTTTTTAAAGAGGGGAAAAAGGAGAAGGGAAAAAACTTTTTCTAAATGATTCTTAATTCACTTTTTTCCCCCTTTCTTTTTTTTTCGTATCTTAAAAATTAAAAATTTGTCTTCTTGGGGTTTGTTTCCCGGACCCCCCCACCCAAAACCCACAACCCATGAGTCCGTTTTATTCAGAGCAGGGGAAAAATTTGTTCCCAATGGGAAAACAATTTAACTTGTTGTGAAAAAGGAACCGCTGTAAAGGGGTTTTTAATCTCCCAATACGGGGCCCTTCCTAACTTTTGGAAAATTAAAAACGCTTTATTGGGTAAAAGGGTTATCCATGAAAGCGTTGAGAAACGGGAGAAAAACCCTATCGGGGAAAAAAAAATTTGGGAGAAAAGTTCCCGGGGAAAAAATTTCTTTTGTCAGCAATCAATTTTATCAAAAAACAGCTGGTAAGTTTTTAAATTTTTAAATTAAAATTTGAGGTACATTTTGTAAATTTGTTTCATTTTTTAATTTTAATTCCTAATTTTCTTAAAAAATATTAATTTTTATAATACTCTACAAAATGTCAACCTTTTCTCTAAAGGGAATTTTTGGGTTTTTCGGATCGCACATTTTTAGCGGGAAAAACGGATTTAAAGGTTGTGTCTTTCAGGGCGCGGGGGGAAAACAGGAACATCTTTTGGGAACCCAAAGTCCACGGAGGTCCCAGGATTTTTATTGTAAAGGGTTATACCGGGGTTATTTTCGGGCCCGGGTCGCTGTCGGTCTGTCGGGTTTTTGTCTGTCTTTGTCTTTTTCTGTCTGTCTTGTCTTGGTCTCTGTCTGTCTGTTGTCTTGGTTTTGTTTTGTCTGTCTGTTGTCTGTCTGTCTTTTTCTGTCTGTTTGAAAGTATGTCTGTCGTTTTTGTCTGTTTTGTCTGTCTGTCTGCTGTCTGTCTGTTTGGTCTGTCTGTCTTTTTGCCCTGTTGTTGTCGGGCCGGGCATCCCATGGATGTAGTATGTATGTATGTATGTATGTATGAAATGTATGAAATGTAATGTTGTATTTTAGGGCTGTATGTAGTTATGTTATGAAAGGTTTGTATGTAAGTGTTTTGAAAATTGTATGTATTTTAGGGTTAGGGGAAAAATGTTGTATGTATGTTGTATGTTGTTATGTATGTATGTTTTGAAATTTATGTCTGTTTATTTTTCTTTTTGGGGGTTGGGGTTTTTTTGGTTCCAAAATTTGGTTGCTTTTTCTTTTTAGCAAAAGGGCTTACTGCGGTTGTTAGGAGAAATTAAAAAAACTGGTCCCCAGGTAAACGAGGGTTTCGTAAAAATTTAAAAATTTTTGGGAGGGATTTTGGTGCAACCAGCAAGGTTTTTCAGTGACTTTTCCTTACAAATTAAAAAGATGGCAAACATTTTACAGCAAAAGGTCCCTTCCTTTTTTTCAAAATTTTATTTTTTTAAAATTAAAAATTTTAACTTTTTAACTCAAAAACTTCCTAAAAAACCTTAAATAAAAACTTTTAAAAGAAATGCCTTTTACAAATTTAGTTTCTAACTAAAATTGTTTTTAATAAGAAATTTCCTTTTAAAAAGGTTTCTGCCCCTTTGTAAAAAAAAAACAATCCTTACGGGGTTTGAAAAGGTTATGTGCGGGACATGGGGGCGCCCCTATTAAGAAGGGCTTTTTTAAACGAAACGAAAATCAGTTTTTAAAACTGGCAAAAAGGGGGGAAAGAAAAGAAAGGGGGAAAACGCGGATTGCGGGAAGGGGTCGCCGGGAGTACCCCCCTTTTACCCAAATAAACCTTTCCCAATTTTTTATTTTTTTTTTTTAACCTTCGGTCAAATTGTAGGATTCCCTGCCGGATGGGGTTTTGTTTTGAACATTTCTTTCGTTCTACATCAATATGAATGCTTTTAATTTTAAACCAAATTTATTTTAACCTTTAGGGGTTTTTAACTGTAAAATAGATAAAAAACAAGGGGAAAAAGGCTTTTTTTCCCAAAATTTCCTGCGGCAAAAATTTGCCCCTAATTTTTTAACGATAGGTCATTCTGGAAGCGATTAAAAAAGAAGAGCCCAGAAACGGAAAGGCGAAGTCTAGCTACAAAAGGATAAAATTATCAGCAAGTTGCGGTTCACATGCACCCCGCGCTTCAACAGTTCATGACGTCACGTTGTTCCGATGACGTCACATCTATCATACGACGTCACAACACCGTGCGTTGCTCGTGACGCTAAAGTCAGTAGTACAGAGTAGCCGCTACCTTGTATGTAAACTGGATACTAGCGTCGCGTCTTTAATGAAATTCCTCCTCATAGTTTCCACTATGAAAACACCTATGGAGGGATTATTTATACTACAGACAATTCCCAGACAATTTGGTGTGCTGTGATTGGACACAGAGCTATGTTTATATTTCAAAGATAATTTGGCCTCCGAGGTTACAAATTTTGTTTTAACCAGATAATGTTGTTGGGATGCTTAAAATATTCCAGTACGTACAATTATTTTTATTCGATATCAGATTTCTCTAATGGCAACAGACCATAGGAAGTTTTCATTCGAAAGAAAACTTACATTTCCTCATTTTGTTTACTTGTACTGTTTCTTGGTATGTACTTCGTACAGGTTATCATAATCGATATTTTAATTGTTATCAGCTTGATAAAATCCACCACGATACCCACCATCAGTCCTGATGGTCCAGATATTTGTGTAATCTGAGATGTTTAGGGATATTAACGGATATAATACATGATAATTATTGATTAATTGAATTTAATCGATAAATGTTCATTGCGGTTAATTACAATACCAATTTCGATGGTAAGAAGATGGATTAGATTAAAAGTGATCAGAGTTTTGAGTTAGCGGTTTTAGTTATCGGATAATGAATCTGTTTATTTTGTTTTATGTACATTGCGGCAGTGGTCAGCTCATGAACGAACAACTGTCCAGTACTGATATTGGATATTATATGATAGAATATAATTTTTATTGTATAGTTGTTTGGTCAGAATTCTCAAAATTCAGCAATGATTTGAAGTTTCAGTTCGTCGAGCAGGCAGCTTATCTTGATCTTGATACCAAAACCATGAACCAATACCAAATACTGATGAAAGAAAATGATAAATGAATTAGTTCCCATTGCAACAGAAATCATTTGGGGTTTCCAAACCAGCGTGCTAAATCACTCTACAGTCGATCTTCGAGATTTTTCTAAAAGGGCCCCCGACAGTTGAATCAAACTTGAATCGATTTATTTTCGGACGCTGATTCCGAATCACCCTCCACGACATTGGGTTATAATGCTCCCCTGGCGAGATATTGGCGAAAAACTGTCTCGATCACGTGATATGACCATATACGTGCATCTCACCATCCTTGATACATGTTTCGTATCCAAATATCAGAGATATTATTATATATTTTTCCGCCTTCGGCGGCGCGCGCTTCGCGCGCGAAAAGTGGCATGCAACGTATGTCAACACCATCCTTAAATGGACCCTTGGAGTTGGCAAAACTACATCCAACACAGCTGTTTGGGGAGACTGCGGAAGAACCCCTATTGTAGTTCAATATGTCAAACAAGTCACTGATTTCCATAATCGACTTGCAAGACTTGATACATGATACGTATCCCAAATATCATGTATTTGGGATACATGATATCCCAAATACATGTATCCCAAATAAGTGGCATGCAACGTATGTCAATGCAAGACTTAACCTAGAAGACTCGCCAGCTCTGGCCAGGCACGCATTTGTGGAGCAGAAGAAACTTGACCTAGGATGGTTCAGAGCACTAGAATCGATGCTAATGATACTCGACGAGAACAAACTAGAACATCAACTTTACAACCCATTGCTGTGTCGAGAAAGGGCACACAATCGATTTATCACAGTGCTGGCAAGCACGACCGTTGCATTTATTGTGGGTATACTATGTACCCCATTTACTATTATACCCCCTTTACTATTATACCCCCTTTACTATTATACCCCCTTTACTATTATACCCTCTTTGGTACACGTTACAAGCCTCTTTCGTGCACGCGAAGCTCCGGCAGGAGTTTTTCAGACATTAAGACTCATCGGAAGTCGTTCAGCAGATTTATTTTAGTTCAAAACATTCTAATTTGATGTCAAAGATGACAGGAATAAAAAATAGTTATGTTGAGATTTTTAAGAAATTTGCATAAAATACTCGCCAGCACTGTTATACGAAATTCGGTAAAAAACCCAAAATCGCCATATTCAGGTGCCTTAAAAACCATGTTAAAATTGAGTTAGAGATCTGAAATTTTTCAGGGCGTCTAGACGTTGACCAAATCGACTGCAAAAAAAGTTTCAGGTTTCAGGAACATCGGGAAGTGGGTTTTCTAGAACCCCTGTTTTATGACAGATTGTCGTGATATATACATATATTCAGGGATAGACGCTTTGCCAGTCAATTGTAGCCTGTATTTAATTGTCCATAGATTCAAAAGTATAAAAGATACAGCCATTTCCGACCACAGGTCTTGAAAATAATTGTTTACACTTTGCACTTTAGTTTACATTGTATAAACAAATTATTTGACGTCATGAACACCCTTTGATGACGTCATCAAGTTAACCGTTTTTAAAACTTTATTTTTGACAAAGCAATAACTTTTAAAAATGATTTTACACCATTAAAAAGTAATTGTATTCAAAATCTGAGGAAATTTTCATCTTAGATAATTGTTCAAGCATTCTGAAAATCTACCGGAAAGTTTTTCTAGCTTGCTCCTTCAGTTTGCTGCTACCGTTTACCTTTGCGTGTGTACTTGTACATTACTATACAAGTACACTATGGGGGATGACCCAACTTTGACCCGATCCCAGGAGTTGATTAAGGAGTTCAACTATGATCAACAGGAAGATGTGGAAGGCTGTGTTGCACGCTGGTCCGATCAGTTAGAAAAAAACCTGCATATGGACTACCGTGAAATTGACTACGAAAGTCGTGAAAAGATCAAGACTAAGGATAAAACGACTCTGTCTGGCTGGGTTGTGGATGCAGTGGACCTTGTTCGTCGGCAGAGTAGTCAGATGTATCTCTTGAAGGAGATCATCGAGTGCTTCAAGACGGAAGCACTAGCAGACAAAGAAAAGGTGATCAGACTGCAGGGCCAGCTGCTGATGCAGAAGGACGAACAACTACAGTTGCTTAAGACGTCTGTTGAGGAGACAGTCCAAACAACGGTGGAGTCAGGGATTCAGAACTATAGTGCAGCTGTTCAACAGAACAGTGCTAGTGGTACGGTCTGCAACAGTAAAATCCTGAAGAAGGTGATGAAGAGTGTGGCTGCAGAGGAGGACAGGAGCAAGAACCTGATCGTGTTTGGGCTGAAAGAAGAGGAGGAAGAACAGCTTCCAGCGCTAGTTACCGCAGTTTTGGAGGAGATCGGGGAGAAACCTCACTTCGAAGCGACTAGAGTCGGTTGGAAGAGGCCAGGTAGTACGGCTATCCGACCAGTCAAGATCACCGTCCCAAGCTCAACAGCGGTTCATCAGATTCTGATGAAAACAGGGAGACTGAGGGAGACGCACAAAGATGTATGGATATGTCCAGACAGATCCAGCGAAGAACGAGCAACAAGGAAGCATCTGGTCACTGACCTGAAGAAGAAGAGGGCGGAACAGACTCATCTCGACCACTACATCCGGTACGGGAAGGTATGTAGCCGTGATAAGAAGTCATCATGAGTTACACTCTCGGACACTGATCAGTATATGAAGGAGTGATGATTATTTTAAGAATTTTCAGACGTTATCTGTATTTAAGAGACAACTATATATTTTGAATATTTTATTATTTGATTGTTTCACACTTTTCATATTTCATAATTTTATTACTAGGTGGAGGTGATGTTATTGAGACTTTGGGCGGCCATAAAACTCCTGTTTTGAAAGTTGTCCTCTGTACTTGTTTCACTGACCCACGCTTTATAGCATTTATACATTTCGGCCCATGTTATATGTTTGTTCGACTTGCTGTACATTTGTATATTTGCTATTTTGTAAAAGTTTCAAATCAAATCATAAAGATATTCGTCATTGAAGTTTGTGCTTTTTTGAAGAATTATTTTATAAAAACGTCAATTTTGCGATTTAGTATTCTCTGGTGTTGGGCCATGCCTTGGGTTGTGGAGCTCAGTTCTGCTTCCTATAGGTATAAATTGTGCATTAGGCTAGTTTTAAAGTTGAAAATCGAAAAGTTGCACACGTGGGGACACGCCCAAATTGATAGAAAATCGCTAAAATCACTGAAAATTGCTGTTTTCGTCATTTTCTGTCAACTTTAGAGTGCCGTTGTGATTATTACAATTCTTCTTGTAATACTTTGAAACTTTGCATGCTTATCAAACTATATATAAAATAATTACATGCAAAAATTTACGGCGATTCAATATTGGATGCGCACGCAACGTCCGCTCAAAGGTTGCACGCGCGAAAGGTGAGAATTTGGCTCATTCGTGATTTCCAACAAATTCTGCTTTGCCACGACAGTTTAATGTCATTATATATGAATTTAATGCCAACTTGAATGAGTATTAAGTGGCATATTCAGTCAGTGATCGACCGATATGCTTACCTAAACACAAGGAAATGTTTTTTAAGGAAAAATTTCGAAATCGTTGAAACTTCCTCCTTATTAATGAAGATATCAGTTTATATTTCGACTTTATAAAGTACCCTGACATTATAAATATAATCAAAAAGAGATGATATTTGACCAAAACCCATATAATAATCATGGGTAGAGTTAACCGCTGCCAGTGTCTCTCTTTTCCAAACAAAAGGAAATGATATTAATTTGAGGAACCGTCCGCAAATGCAAATTGATACCGAGAATGAAATCGGTCGCTCGCTTTTCCCATTTAATAAGCTTTATTACAATTCGTAAGCCGTGAATGAATGGGAAAAGCGAGCGACCGATTTCATTCTCGGTATCAATTTGCATTTGCGGACGGTTCCTCAAATTAATATCATTTCCTTTTGTTTGGAAAAGAGAGACACTGGCAGCGGTTCACTCTACCCATGATTATGGGTTTTGGTCAAATTAAACTATGGGAAAGAGAAAGAAAAAGCAATAAGAAGCTTATATGTTATACTCGTAGGGAATAAGTAATCGGGTTTGGATATATGAGGTGGCTCGACGGCGCTACAGCGATGACAAAAGTTTGCTTCTTCGCAATATACTTATAGACCACTCCCTTATAATTATGTGGATGAAAGGAGTCTATTTTGCGCGCGCGACGCCAGTTATGTGTTAATTAATTACATTTACAGGCATGGCAACCAGTTTTTGGTGCTTGACGACAGTTAAACAGGTTTCCATCGGGTTCCAATTCAATTTCACTCTAATTCATTAATAATAATATAGCATATTATTATTAGTCATCTGAGCGCCTGAGCGGATCAATCATCAATATAAGATTAAATGTTATTTTGGTGATTAATTACCGGTAATAAATTACCGAGTGATAAAATTCAGCAAGTCAAAAAAATTAAATTATGATATCAGCTGATAAACTCGTGGCTGATTATTTAACAGTTGATCGCACTGGATAGTAAATAGCGAAAACATAGTTGAAAACAGATGTTACTTAATTACATTTACATTCAATGAGCAAATAAGATCAGAGCTATTACTACTAGTGAAACGACAATGGGGGTCACGACGTGATACAACATAAACCCTCATGGCTAATCTCAACCCTAACGGCCTAACAGGAATGCACCTAAAAATTTGACCATTGTTTATAATGATCAGGCCCGGCGCGCGCTACTTTGTAGCACTTGCCACACGGTGGAAAATTTGTAGATTCTATATATAGGTGATTTTAGAAGACAAATTGTCATAAATAATTTTCTAGCTCGAACACAAATTGTACAAATTTTTTTACAAATTTTGTGTCTTTAACCATTATAAATTTGGTACTAAAAGATTCGTCTTACCAAGCTGATTACGATCCTGTAAAAATTATTTCAAAAAAAAACTGATACTTTTTGAGTTATAGGCATTTTAAGCCTTAAATCTGCCATGTTTGGCCTTTTTGACGATGAATTTTACTAAGTCGTTTGAGGCCACATTTCATACCTTAAAACTCAAAATTGAGAAAGATCCTGTTCCAAAAAGTTAAATATGATCATCAGCTACACTCACAAGAATTTTTAAGGCGATATCTTATGACCTGGGTGAATGGTAAAATATACAACTTTGATTTTTACAAAAATTTCAATTTTGCTTCTCTCGACCTTGTTTGGCTTGACGGATGTTACTCGTCTAAATTTCTTCGAAGTAGCGCGCGCCGCTTTCTTCTCGACGGCAAGTGCTACGAAGTAGCGCGCGCCGGGCCAGATCATTAACAATGGTCAATGTTTGGCCTGTAACTTCGTCATCTATATTTTAATTATAAAATCCTTTGAAGGGCTTCTTGTACGGATTGTAAATAATGTTCAGTTAAAAAATCAGTCAATAAAAATGACTGAAATATCGGTATTACACTTACAGTGACTGGTGACAGACTTCTCAAAATTTCCAAAACTTTCGAAAAAAGAAAATATTTATTTTTTCGAAAGTGCGTGCTCTCAAAAATAATTTTTAATGTATCAAATCTTATTGTTTTGATGTATACTTTCTTAATATGAAGTTAACAGCAGGGCCAGGTCATAAAAGCTTTTGGTGTATGTCCCCTTAAGTAGGCTGTAAATGTTATATTGTTATATATTTTAACCTATGTATGTCCCGGGTCCCCCCGTAGGGGGGGGCATACATAGGTTAGAATGGTTTTGTGCACCAAGAGGAGTAGAGTTGTTTGAATTATAATTTAAGTATAGATATCAATAATGAATAATCCCCATGCAAATAGAACAAAATTTTGAGCTGTTTTAGAAAGAAAAAAAAGACTCAAAAATAATTTACACAAAACATCGTTTTATCATGAATCTAGTTCTACAGCTCTCAAATATCATAAGAAAATTAAGCAAATACTATAGCATATTTTAGTTTGTTTGGGGACTGGTTTATAAGCCAGTCAATGTTTACGAATATAATAACTTTATTGCATAATCATAAATGCATATTATAAATAGATCAAATCTGAAACACAAATTTGCACGCAGTTAATAAATTTAAAAAAATAAAATGAAAAAAGAAAGGTTTATTCATATTGATCAAACAAAATATGGAGCACTCTGTGCTTCCAACAGCCTTTCAGACTCGCGCTAAGTTCATGTTAGGGACTGGTTTAGGAAATCGTAGATATTGCTATGCCATTAGTTTGGATATGTAGACGTGTTGTGATTGTTAAAATCAATTACGGTTTGTGCTGATAGGAAAATAGTGATAGTGGGGAATGTGGCAGTGTAAATATGGATCTGGAATTTAGGATGTGTGGCTTATCCATTAATATTAGTTGCCGCTAGTCTGTGCTCAGTTTGTTCTGGTTTTTTGTGTGCAAATATATATATAAATATATATATATCATTTGTGGAGTATGGTGTAAGTAATGTTTTTGGTTGGAGTGCAGTGGTTATATGTGTGAGAAAAGATATATGGTCATTTTAGTAACTCACATAAATCAGAACTTGAGCTCATTTGTGGCAAAATTAAGCTCACACCAATCAAGTGTATCATGCTTGAATTGCAATTCTCGTAAGGCAATTTTCAATATATTCTTAAACCCGTTTGTCGGAGTATTAAAACTTATCTTACTTGATGTTTGTCGACAGCTGTTCCACATGTAGGATGATTGGTAGATGAATTGTGAGGATGGTTGTGATGTAATGAAATAATCCTCTCGTCGTGGTGACCTGTTAAATGATGAGTACAGTGATAATGGTTCCTCTAACTTATTAATTTTGAATAGTTCTAAGAGACAAGTGTACTTGTACAGATTGTGGACCGTCAACAACCTGTGGGTTTTAAACAAGGGCTTGGAGTGTTCTTTTTGGTAAAAGTCCACCCCCAGTCTTTGCTTATCAACAGGTCGTGTTCGGGCACACGTTTTAAACTTCTCTAGGTAAGCTTCTCTATCCCCAAACAGAATTCTTATACACTTTTTCTGTGTTTTAAAGATAGGTTCAAGTCGGTTATTGCTAATACCACCCCACACAGATATTCCAAATCCTAAATGTGATTCAAATAGAGTATGATATAAATCCTTATAATACTGCTTTGGGACAATGTGTCGTATTTTGCACAGCTTTCCTACTTCGCATTTAAGTTTTGAGTTAAGTGACTGCGTATGTGATTTCCAGTTAAGTTGGTCGTCAATAATAACGCCTAGAAATTTAGCTTCTTGAACTCTTTTAATAACTACATTATTTAAAGTTAGTATGTTCTCGTCATTTTCTACTTCCTCTTTGGCCCGTGAGGGTTTAAAATGAATAAAACAACATTTCTTAATGTTAATATGTAATAAGTTTAGTTTCATATACTTGTACACAAATGATAGAACTTCATTTCCTTTTTCGTATAGTCTTTTGACACATGTGTCTTCTATAAATATGTTAGTGTCGTCGGCAAATAGTATAAACTTTCCTATAATTGATGAGTTACGGATGTCATTAATATAAATAATAAAAAGTAAGGGACCAAGACAGCTCCCCTGCGGCACTCCATAGACTACTGGAAGTTTCTCGGATTCTTCACCTAATACCGAGACATACTGGTATCTGTTCGACAGGTAACTTGCTAT